CACTCTCACTTCTAAGTACTGGGGACATCGCAGTGAACAAAGTCTCAGCTCCATGGAGCTCACTTCCTACTAGTAAGGGCAACACAACCAACTAGGCAGAGGTGACATTCAGGGAAATTAAGTGCCCAAAGAATAATCGTCAGCTCACAGGGGCTTAGAGAGAGGTAGGCGTTCTGTGTTGGTTATGATCTTGCCTTGGTCACCTCAGGCTGCCATTTAAATGGACCCAGGGGCTTAAAAACATTTATTTCTCACAGTCCTGGAGGATAAAGTCCAAACCATGGTCCAGTGAGGGCCCTCTTCCTGGCTTGTAGACGTCCGTCTTCTCGCTGTGTCCTCACATGGAGGAGAAGCAGAGAGAGAGCAAGCCCCCTGGTGTCACTTCTTGTAAAAAGCACGAATCCCACCCTGAAGGGCCCCACATGACCTCATCTAACTCTGATAACTTCTGTAAATTCCTGTCTCCAAGTACCTTCACACTGAGTGTCAAGGCTTCAACATATGAATGTGAGCAGGGCATAATTCAGCCCATAGCAGATGGCAAGAGATGGCCTCTCCAAGCAGGAGCCCCTGGAGCAGCTTCCTGGGTGAGGTGAGGGAGGAAGGACTTGAAGACGTGAGGAAAGAGTGTCGGGCAGGGGGCCAGCAAGGGCAAAGGCCCATCAGTGGGAAGGAGTGTGTTTGAAAAACATATTTAAAGGGCCAGGGCCTGCAGGGAGCAGGGTGGGGGTTATATTGCTTACTGAGCCCAACATGTCAGTATGGCTGATAAAAAATTGTGGAAGCAGTAGCAATAGTTGCACACAATGGGAATGCATTTAATGGCCCTGAATTGTACCCTAAACACTGTTAGGATGGCAAATTTTCTGTTATATAGATTTATAATTTTAAAAATTAATAATGTAGCATAATAACATTTGAATTATTTTGAATAATCAAAAAGAAAAAGAAAAATAGGAGAAGCCGGTGGTGGAAGAAGAGGGCAAACGAGGAATAAAATGTCAAATCCCTATCACCTACCAGCTGTACAGACTTGGGCAAATCACTCAGCCTCTCTGGACCTCAGTATCCTCATCTGTACAATGGGGGAATATGGACTCCCTCAAAGAGTAGCTGAACAGATTAAATCACTGGCCTTGACCATGGGGAGCACCCTGGAAAGGGGCCAGGGCAGGGGCCATGTCACGATTTTCATCATCACCTCTGTGACCCTTCCCCACAGGAGCAGATGTCAGGAGAAGGAGGCACGGCTCCGAAGGACAGTCACACGGATCCTGAAGTGTGATGTGACCCAGCCACACCCCCTGGCACCAGCCCAGGTGCCACCAGCTGACTGCGTGCTGACCCTCCTGGCGATGGAGTGTGCCTGTCCTGATGTGGACGCCTACCGGGCAGCGATCCGGCGCTTGGTCAGCCTGCTGAAGCCAGGCGGGCACCTGGTCACGGCCATAGCCCTCCGCTGCCAGAGCTACATGGTAGGCGCCAAGAAGTTCTTTGCGCTCCACTTGGAGAAGGAGACGGTGGAGAAGGCCATGCAGGAGGCCGGCTGCCAGGTGCTGCGGTGCGAGTACTGCCCCATCAGCTACTCAGAGGTTCACTGCACCAACGAGGGCACCTGCTTTGTGGTCGCCCGCAAAGGCCCCAGGGCCTGACGACACCCTGGCACAGGGGCCCTGCCCCAAAGGGCAAGTCACAGCCAGAGTGGCCAGAGTCTCACCCACAGCCCTCTAAAAATGGCTGAGCTTTAACTCCCCCCTTCACTCTGATCAGCACATCCCAAGGTCACACGAGAAAAGCAGGCCCTCCTCTCCCCTAGCCCAGGGATCTGGCCCCCACACCCCTTCTTGTTCATTGCGCATCAAAAATCAGGGAAACAAAGTGGCTCAACTAGATATTGTTGTGATTTGGGTTCCCCCTCAGCAGACCCGGGGAATAGGATTTGAGTGCAAAGAGCTGATTTGAGAGGGATCCCAGGAAACAGACACGGGAGCGTGGGAAGGACAGCAGGAAGGCAGGGAGGTGACACAGGGTGTGTCATCAAGCCGGTCACCACTGTGGAAACTCGCGCTCATCTATGGGGCAGGGCCTTGGGAGATCCACCTGAGAGAGCAGGGCCTTTGTCCACCAGCTCCCAGTGTCACGGGTGAGGGCTTTCCCAGGGGCGTTAATTGGCAGCATCTTCAGCCTGCCTGTTCATGGGCCAGAGGGGGAGACACGCTCAGGCAAAGACTGGCAGGGCTGGTTCCTGGAGGTGGGCCCCAGGCCAGTGGGACAGGGAGGGGGCTCCGAGAGCTCCCCCAACGGATACAGATGCCGCATTGGCTCAGGTGTGGGGCCGGTTCTGGGCAGCCTGGCCCTTCTGCAGGAGGAGCACGACCTCAGGTTCTCAAAGGCCAAACAACTGCAAGAACTAGGTGACTTCTAGGCCAAACTCCTGCTCCCGCTCAGGTGGGAAAGCTAACAACTGGGAGGGGAGGTGACCGGCTCCTGACAGCTCAGTGAGTCAACTGCACAGCCTAAACAGGAGCCGGGAACCGGGTTAGGCTGGACCTGGGGCGAGACGGAGCTTCCAGGGAGTGGGTACAACGTGGGGCCAGGAGAGTCCACTGGGAACCGGTACCCAGCCAATGGACCTGTGCCCTTGATTTTTCTTGCTGAGGTCACCCCATGGGCCCAGCACCCTGGCCTTAGGAGGGGAACCAGGCATTCTGAGGCAGCTCCCCACAGTACCTGTGAGGCCAGGTTACTGCGGATCTGGCAGGGGATGGAGCCGCGGGGATGGTCAGCTGAGCAGCCCACGCAGGGCAGGGAGTCAGGCTGTTCCATCCATATGACCAAGAAAGCGAGCTCCTGGAGCTTAGGGAAGAACTAGGGTCATGTCCCTAGAAGAACCTTCACAAGATCAGCTGTCTCTGGACACCCTCCTTGTCCGCACAGATGGTCAGCTCACATCCCGGTCAGGTCCTGACACTGCGCTGCCATGTTCTCCCTGGGATGTGGGAGGGCGTCAGCCTTGGTCCACCCAAGCTTGGCTCCCGTGAAGCCCCTAATGCTCTCTGAACTGTGGCATGGGCCCCTCTCTGCTCCCAATGTTCCAACCCCAGTCACGCTCCCCCGAGCAGCCTCCCAAGGCAAACGCAGTCACGCCTCTGCCCTGTTGAAACCCCGGGCCGCAGACTAAGGTCCCACACATAACCTAACGGCCCACGAGGCCCTCCACAACCTCACTGCTGCCTCCTGTCCTGCAGCCACCATGCAGGGCTCCTTGAACCAGGCCAGCGACCTCCCACCTGCACGTCCTCCCTACAAAGGACTCCTTCTCCCTCCTCCAGCCCATGTCCCAGCTCTGAACAGCTTCCAACAAGCTGTGCAGGAAAGGGCAGTGCCAGGGGAAGGGCTGAGCCAGGACCCCTCAGCCAGATGAAAGGGCAGCCTCAACTGCGAGCCTGCTGCTAAACCCAGTATTTTCCAAACTGCTTCCACGGTGTTGTTGGGAGTCCCAGAGGTCAGTAGCAGGCGAGTCCTCCTCCTTCCAACCTCAGCTGGGACTTGGGGAGCTGGCAGGAGAGAAGGGGCAATGGGAGACAGCAATGACTTCCCATGGCCACCAGAGAGCAGTGCAGGGCAGGAAGCTGCCAGCAGAGGTGCAGGGCGGGCAGAAGGCAGAGGTTCCTCAGGAAAGAAAACTGTGCTTGGGCCACCTTTTGGCTCACGGGGGCTATGCTAGGCCTCACTGAGCCCAGAAGCCAGCACACTCATAGGAGCCTGGAAACCCCTGGGCAGGAAGAAGCCAGAACTTCATGTCTCTGTGGGTGCTGGACACTGAATTTCAGCTGGGCGCCAGAGACCAGGGCTCTGCAAACGAAGGTGCCTGTGAGTCACCTGGGGAGCTTGTTTACCTGTGGATCCTGATCCAGGAGATCTGATGCAGTAGGCCTGGGATTCTGCATTGCCAGCAGGCCTCAAGGGATCCAAACACTACTGGTCTGAGGGCCATACTTGGAGGATCAAGGCCCTGAGGAATGCATCTTGAATTCTGACTTTTCCCTGAAATAACAGGGCTGCTGGGCACAGCTTGGAGCTGGCACAGCTCACTTCTCTGGCTCCCGTCTCCAGGTGAGAGAGGGAGGAGCCCAGCACTCCACCCAGGAAATACCCCACTCCCCTTCTCTTACTCCCAGGGGTGGGGGGCCCTCCGCCTCCCTCTGGTCTTTGACAGTCTTCTCCACCAGATGGAACTTCTCCAGGGCAGGGGCTGGGGGTGCCCCAGACGCCTCACCGCAGCAGTTCCCTGTCAGACGCGGCAGGATCTGCTGCTGCTAAAGCTGGTGTGTATTTCAAACAACTGGACACCTTCCAGCCAGCCCTTGGTGACGAAGGTCCCCCCACAGCCACATCACATGCCCTCCTCTGAGCTCCTACGAGGCAGAGGGGACAGGGTGCTTTTGTTGCACATTTCCAACTTGAGGCCCACAGATGCAAAATGACTTCCACAAAGGCATCACCTTCAATATTCCCAGCTCTAGTCCCTCAGAGAAGCCTGGCAGGGGCTCGGGCTGGGGCTCGCACCCTGGATATGCATTGCAATCACCCAGGGAGCTGTCACCTTCCTGCAGCCCGGGTCTCCCCCCGACCAACTAGATCAGAAGATCTGAGGTACAGGCTGGGGGGCCCAGGCAGCAGTATTTCATGACAATCTCCTGGTGATTTGAATGTGTAGCCAAGATTGACAACTGCTGGCCTGGGCCAGGGCTTCTGAAACATTACTTTACTCCTACACCATTTGGGGCGCTGTGAACATACAGAGTCTGATTTGGCAGGGTTGTGGTGGGCTGGGAATCTGCATTTCTGACCTGTTTCCATGTGATGCCTCTGCTGCTGATTCCAGAACCAGCTTGAGTAACAAGAGTACAGAGGGGGACTGAGGAATACAGTACAGTGGTCCAAGTGTAAAGTAATGACCCCTGAGGTACCACGTCCTTCAGGACCTGGGGTCTTGAATGAATCAGAAAAGGCCTCTCAATCATCAAGGCCAGAAATCTCCGTGCTGCCTCTACTGTCATTGGCCATCCAAGAATCACTCACCCCTCCCAGAAGCTCCCCCACAGAGCAGCTGTCTGTATTTTAGCCCTGCTTACTGCCCGGCGCTCCCGACTACAGTGTCCAGCTGCCTCCACGTGCCTGGCCCTCGGCCCCTCTAACTTAGCAAGTCCTTAGACAAGACTCCCATCCCCCACACGCTGCTCCTACCACGTTCCCACCCCAGAGGGGACACTTCCGTCCACGCTCTCACCCGTCTCAGCCTCCTTCCTCTCTCACCTCGGTCCCCACCCCGGCTCACCCCAGTCTCTTGATGTTCCCCCAAACAGCTTCTCAGATCCACTCAGCTGCTCTCAACCCCATCACTGCCCTGAACCCAGCTGTTTGAGCTTCACTTCCAGTCCGCAGTGGTTTCCTGACCAGCCCCGGCCTCCGGATCCATCAAATTGTGTCTCTTTCCATCTTTTCCACCAGACAGTGAACTCCCTGGAGCACGTTGTCCTTAACCACATGCAGGGCCTGCCACACAGGAGGTGTCTGTTAGATGCTGTCTGCATGAAGGACAGAGTCAGGGGCCCTGGTGTCCAGTCTTGGCTCTTTTCACTTTCTTGCTGATTGCGGGGACACCCTTTGTCCTCCCTGGCCTCACTCTCCTCATCTGAAACTGGACCCAGTGATGCTGAAACATCAGTTTTGAGATCCTGGGAGGAGATTGTGACTTGTTCCTGCTCACTGCTCACCCCAGGCCAGGAGGGACAGCTGAGTGGCCCAGGAGAGAACTGCCAGGGGCCTCCTGAGCTCAGGCGTGACAGGTAAACAGAGAAGAGATGCGTTTTTCCCCTCCCTGTCTCCTCACCCTTAGCCAAGCCCTCTCCTGAACCTGGAGCCCCCGGGCTTGAGAAAGGTCAGGCTGTCCCCACCTCCGGACTCATGGCAGCAGGATGGACATCACAGGGAGCTTGTTAGAAATGCAGACTCTCAGGTCCCAGCCCCGACCTGCTGCAGCACATCCGAATCTTAACTAGATCCCCAAAGGCTTTGATGCATATTAAAGCCTGAAAGGGACTGATCTAGAACTGGAGAAATGAAGACAGGAAACAGAGGGGGAGGAGGGACAGAGAGAGGGAGACAGCCTCCTTGCTCGTGGCCTCCTCTGGGCCCCCCTCACACTCAGCCTCTCAGCTCAGTTGTGACAGGTCCCTGCCTCACAGCTCAGAGGAACTCCTCCCTCCTCACTCCGTCCCTTCGCCACCAGATCACCCTTTTATTTCCTTCACCTCACATGTCGCTGTCTTCCCTTCTCCATCCCCTTCCCTCCCTGGAAGAGTCATTGCCTCCATTTCCCTGCTGTATCCCCAGTGCCCTTCACCAGCTCCGTGCCCCACCAGTATTGTTCAAGAAATCAGTTGACGATGTGAAACTTACAATTGTGGACTTGGTGCTGCTACAACCTTCTCCCTTTGAACTTCAGAGCTGCTGAAGCCATCTAATCCAGCGGCTTTGTCTCATTCTTTACATTTCCATTGGCCCACAGTCCAACAACTTGGTGCTTCAGGCAGAACATGGAGAATTCAAAAGCGTGTTCAAAAGGGTAGGGTAGATTGCCTTCCCTTTCCAGCAGCCAACATGTCTTTGCAAATGCCTTTGCTGCTTCTCCCACTGAGAGGTCAAGTCCATTTCTCTCCATCACCTCCCCTCTCCCCATCTGGGTTTGCCATGTGAGTTGCTTTGGCCAATGCTATAATAATAAAAGTGATGCCACTGGGGCTTGTACCATGACTTGCTCTTGGTATTTCACCAAAGGGTTGAAAATTTATGTCTACACAAATGCTGGTACATAATGTCTATTCCTGCCTTATTGATAACTGCCAAAATGGAAGCAACCAAGATGTCCTTCAGTAGGTGAATGAATAAACTGTGGTCCATCCAGACATGGAATATTATTTGGTGCTAAAAAAAAAGTAATGATTTCTCAAGCCATGAAAGACACGGAGGAACCTTCAATCATGTTACTAAGTGAAAGAAGCCAATGGGAAAAGGCTATGCACTACATGATTCTAACTATATGACAACCTGGAATAAATGCCCCAGCCTCATGTCCTTTGAATGAACAAGGAGGAAGCAGCATTGCAAAGGCACCAACATGCAAAATCTGAAGTTGGAAGGGCTCAAAGGAAGACTGGCAGCCCCGGGGCCCTACACGTGGAGGGAGAGTTGGGCAGGAGGCAGGCTCAGCACCCCACAGGGGATGAGATCTGAGGAGAGGGGCTCTCCAGTGCATACCCGGGTCACATGCATTCCAGGAAGCCGTGGGCCCTGCTTTCAGAGGAGGTACCAGGTGAGCCAGAGGCACGAGTGGAGGCCTGGCCTGGGTACCAGGAGGCCCAGGTTCCGGTTCTGATGCTACCAGTGACAGTGGTGTGACCTCAGGGAAGTCTTCTCCCCTTGAGCCTCACGGGTGTGAGTCTCATGCCCTCACCCAGTGTGGCTGCATGGATAGCATCTTTCCTCGCACAGAACCCAAGCCGCTGCTGGCTCCCTCCCGCTGCAACTCTCAAGCCCCCAGCTCCAGATCATGGGCCCCTGGTTCTTGTCTCTAAGACAGACAATCTTGTGTCATGGAGCCAGGGAGAAGCAGCAACTCCCTGCCCCATTAGCTTCTCTCTCCCGAGTGCCCTGGCACACCCGCTCCCACCCTGCACCCCACAGATGACACCACACACACATAACACAATGTTGTCTACGCACATTATACACACACATCACATACATACAAACACAGCTAAATATATATCATACACACACTCTACACACACACAGACACGTCTCTGCTCTCCTCTGTTCCCTCTGGGTCTCTCGGGGTCCCCTGTCTACTCTGCTGGCAGTGGAATCCCGCTCTGCCTCTCCCCCAGAGTTACTGTGCCCATTTTAGACCTCAAAAGGCATAACTGCTTGTTTTTCCCTCAATACCACAAAGAAGGAAATCTTGTGTACTGCGGCGGCCAAGGCAGAAAGCTTCTGGAAATGCATGAAGGGGGCTGAGCATGTCACACCACCCCCCACCACGGCTCCTGCATTGCGCTGCCGGGGGAGGGGGAAGGTGTGACGAGTTCCAGAGCCCTCGGGAGAAGGACCCAATGGGTGGCGCCTGCCAGCGGGTGCAGAGCTGTCAGGAAAGGGGGTCCCAGCACAGGCAGGCCACTTGAGCACCACGGAGTCAACCACCCAGCTCACAAATGGGAAAAGCTAGACTCTAGTAGGCGGGGAGCAGCCCGAGAGCAGGAAGCTGGGTGGGAACCCCGTGCCCTGGAGGTTTACCCGAGTTAGGTGCCCTGGATTCCAGGCCCAGCTGGACCTCTCATCAGCCAGGTGGCCCTGGGCAGTCACCCCTCCCTGATGCAAGGTGGTAGAAGCAAGGTGGGGCACGGGGTCTCCCCCCAAGGCTCAAAGGCCTCTCCGTCTCCTCTCCGTGGTGCCCCAGCCTAAAGGGAAGGGACCTGATGGGGCACAGCAGTGTCCACTGAAGGGCGGCCACGGAGGGCCTCGGTCAGGTGACATGTGAGGCAGGAGATGCAGGAAGGAGCCACAGGGGTATCTGAAAAGTGCCTTCCAGGCAGAGGGAACAGCTGGTGTCAAAGACTCTGAGAAGGGAGGGTGCCTGGCAAGTTCCAGGGACAAGGTATAAAGGTGTCTGTGTGTGTGTGTGTGCAGGCATCCGTGTCTGTGTTGTTTGTGCAAATGTCTGTGTTTGTGCACCGAGGGGCACACTTGTGCCTGTAGACACGTGTGTGAATGGTGAGTGTGTCGTTAGTGCTGGCCCTTGTGTGTGTGTGTGTCTGCGCACATCCGTGCCCGTGTCTGTGGCGAGCCCTGTGGGCCACCGTAAGGCCCAGGCCCTTCCCCTGAGTGAGGTGAGATCCATCAGAGGCACTTGAGCAGAGGCCTGACAAGCTGGGACGCAGCCTTCAAATCCAGCAGAGGGGTCGAGAGTAGGGGCAGCCCCCCAGGGGCCGCGTCTCTGCCTGGTCATCTGGCTGCCGGCCCTGGTGCCACCTGGACCCGCGCCGAGGCCTGGGCTCAGCGGTGCTACCCAAGCTCTGTTCATCCAGGCCCAGAGCAGGGGGGCAACAGGGGAAGGGGAGGATGGGCAGCAGAGGGGGCGGGAGTAGGTTGGGCTCGGCCTGGGCCCCAAACGAATTCTTGGGCATCTAATTGTGGAAGAACAGTTGAGAAGGGAGACTACAATCACCCTTGGCCCAGCCTCAGCTCAGAGGGCTCCGTAAATAATGCCCCGAATAATTAGAGAGAGATTGTACCTCCCCTTCCTCCTGCCTCCACCTCCAGGGAGAGATGTTCACGTGCAAATAAATTAAAACCAAATCCAGCAATTTGCATGACGCCAGCTCTCAGGCTGTGTGAAAACCGCCAGGTGCCCTGAAGACCCCGTGCACCGGGGGCGGTGCTGTCAGGCTGGTTCCGCTCCGCTCGTAGCCCTGGTGGGTGTCCCGGCCTCTGGGGCAGGGTCTCTGGCCTGTGCTCACTCTCTGGGCCCAGAGCGCTGTCCACACGATGGGTGAGGGGTCACCCGGATAACCAGGCCCCTTCACCACCGAGACGTGTTTCTGTCGGGGCGGGCTGTCTGTATGGACTGCTCTGTGGGTCCCAGGCGCCTGTGACTTGCTGAGGGGTCCCCGTTGACCATCTGGGGAGCAGGAAGAAGGCTTTGGTTGATATACTGAGGGAAGAGGAGCTGGCTTTGAATGGCTTTGAATGAATGATATGACCGGGCTTCAAGAAGAAAAGGAAAAAGCTGATGCAAATTCAAGGTAGAATTACATTATGAAACGGAAAGATATCAACAGAGGCCAGGTTGAGCCCTGTTTTGGTGGCTGGGAAACCACCTGAAGTCCTAAGTCCCCCCATAGCAGCAGTTTTTCTCAGGAAGAAGGAGCCATTTTGGTGAGAAATAACAGGAGGCCTGTTAGCAGGTGGGCCTGAGAGAACCATGGGGTCTTGGCCCCAGCTCAGTGCAGGACCCAGTGGCCTCTGCTCGAGGCCCACCCCTGGCAGTGGCTCTGGCCCAACTGCTGGCTAGACAGTGGTCAGAATGCCTTGTATGTAAAAGAAGCCAGGAGGACTCTCGAAATGTAGAATTCAAGTTTTACCTGTCAGAAGGATGTCCCACCTCACCTGCAGGTTCTCCAGGTGATGGCCCCACCTTGCTGAAAACCAGAGCATCCCATACTGTCCTGGCAGAGGCTCAGGGAGGAGTTGGAGTTGGAACTCTCTCTCTCTCTCTCTCCCCAACCCTCCGACCCACCGACCCACCGTGTCACTCTCTTTCTCTTTCTCTCTCTCTCTCTCTGTGAAACACACACACACACACAGGAAAGAGGACTCGTGCCTCCCTCCCAACTAAGGGCTCCAGCCACCTTGCTATGTGCATCCTGTGACTTGGAAAGCAAAGCTTTCCATCCCCTAGAACCTGTGACCTCCCCAATCCTGCAGCCAAAACCAATTCCTGGCACCCAATTAATCAACTCTTCCTAGACACCAAACTCACAGGCAGAGCGGCAGGGGCGCGCTGAGGCCTATCTGGAAACAGAGAAGGGAGTTGTTTTAAGTGTTCTGAGCTGGGGGGCTGTAAAGGCAGATTTATCCCCCTTTTCATCTACTTAAAGTGACAGAACCCTCTAGAACTCTGTGCCTCTGCCAGAGAGCTGGAATCTGATCAGATGGAGTTGCTCCCCACTAACCTGCGCAGAGAGGATTATTTGGGCAAAACTTTACTTTCATGTTCTTCTTGGCAGGTGATGGTGGTGGTGAGTTATGAAGCACCTACTATGTGCCAGCTATTGAATTTCCATTATTTATATATTAAGTTCCACTTGAGCTGGGTGCCATTATTCTGGTTTGACAGACTAGGCAACTAAAAGTGGGTGAAATCAAGAAATTTGCTGAAACTCACACAGAATGACGTGCCCACATTAGCCTGTAACCCCCACCTCCATGTCATCATTGCCACAATGGAACTTCCAGGTTTCCTGGGGCTGCTGGGACAAATTACCACAAACCTCGTGGCTTAAGATAACAGAAACTTAGCCCCTCACAGTTGCGGAGGGCAGAATCCAAAATCAGAGTGTCAGCAGAGTTGTGCCCCCTCCAAAGCACCCCCCTTGCTTTTCCCAGGTTCTGATGCTCCTGGCATCTCTGAGCTGTGGCAGCATAATTCCCATCCCTGCCTCTGTCATCACGTGGCCTTTCTCTCTATGTGCCTGTATCTTCTTTTCTGTCTCTTATAAGGACACTTGTCATTGGATTTAAGGCCCATCCTCATAATCCAGGATGATCTCATCTCAAGGTCTTGTCTTAATTACTTCTAAAAAGACCTTGTTTCTAAAAAACATCACATTCAGAAGTACCAGGGGCCAATAATAAACTCACTACCCTCTAGGAAAACAAAGACATTGTCCTTCGTTCACTGATATATTCCAGGAGACCAGAAAAGTGCCAGATTTGTAATAGATATTCAATTAGTACTTCTTGAATGCACAAATGAGTGCATGAATAACTGAAGTGACAAATCTGAGGATCCAGCCTGGGCAGCTGGACTCAGAACCTCACCTGAGGCTTTTGCAATTTCTTAGACTCCTAGCCTTCAACAGCTCCCCATTTTTACTTTAAAAAAATATTTTTACAAACCAAAAATAGACTCACACACATAGAAAATAAACTATGGTCACCAAAGGGGAAAGGGTGGCCAGGGGGTGG